ATTTATTCAATCCCATAAATCAAGCCAATCACCCCTTTAATGTATTGGTCCGTTGGAGCCTTTTTTGGCACTATAAAAAGGGGTGTTTGGGTCTGCTTTTCTCATCAATTCACTTCACTTTATTCATATTATCATTGCATCCAAACAACATTATTTTCCATAGCTTTCTAGAGCCAATTTGTGAAGTTTGAGTTGTTCTTGAGCGTATATAGTTTACTCAACATCTACTCTTAAAGAGAGTCTTGTTCTTGAGTGTTCTTAGTGTTGTAAACACGTTTAGGGAAGCTTGTTTCCCTTGGTTGTACGAAGGAAAGGTATTTTCCTTCGGGTTGAAGTCTTGGAGTGCGGTATCTCCGAGCAAGTGTATTGAGGCTCGTGGGACTCGAGTTCTCAGGTTGTAACGGTTTGTTAAGCACCCGTAAGCTTAACGTTGATAGTGTAGCTCGAGAGAGTCTCTCGGGAGGCTGGACTAGCCACACGTTGTGGTGAACCAGGGTAAAACCGGTGTGTTCTCTCCTTACGCTTTTTATTCCGCTCTTTACTTTATCCCTGCGATTTTTATTCCGCGAAAATTTATAAACATTCTCGTGCCTCACTATTCACCCCCCTCTAGTGAAGGGCACTTATTCTAACAGGTTTTGGGTGGTATTTTCGGCCATCAAGGTGGGGGAAGGTCCAAAAGGACTAGGGTTGGGTTGTATGGTTTAGGGGTGATATATTCATTCCAAAGAGGATTAAAACATTTTGACATTATTCCACAGATTTGTTTAAGGACTTGGGGGTCGTTGTTATTAACCGGGGGTATATCACATACACATGGTTGTTCACTCATACACACACACACACACACACACACACACACAAACATTCTAATCGCCTCCCAGAAGAGGGCGAAGAAGTACTTGGTCCTGAAGTACCAAATTTAAGTGTGAAAATAGACAGGTAATGTGTTAACATATGGTAATACGATATTTTCTTTGAAGTTGACTGAGCGAGCATGAACAACAACATTGAATCAAGCCGAATTGATAGCATTATACGACAGTGATCGAGAGTGAGCATGGTAGAGATTGATGATCAATCTCATACAAGGAGCATGCAGTTTGAAAGAAATCAAGAAGAATGTTACGATTATATATAAAGATAACGCAACATGCATAGCTCAAATCAAGGAAGGCTACATCAAGGGAGACAGAACGAAACAAATCTCTGCAAAGTTTTTCTCAACATCTGATATGCAGAAAGAAGGAGAGATCGATGTTCTTCAAGTTAAATCAAGCAAAATTTGGCGGCCATATTCACCAAATCTCTGCCTAGACACATTTTTGAGCAACTCATAAAGAAGATTGGACTTCGCTGGCTAAAAGAGATAAATTAGTTTGAGGGGGAGTATATTTTTATTTTGAGGGGGAGTACTCTATTTCCCTTAACTAAGTTATGTCTCACTTGGTTTTCTTATTAAGGTTTTTAATGTGGCAGCATAACTAATCCTGCAGTATCAGTTAATATAGGTCCTGAAGAACCTAGCCAACATTATCCCGTAGCATAATGTTGTTAGTGTATAATGAACGATGATATATCTGAGGGGGAGTGTTAAATATGGCAGATATATTACTCTTATTATTTAGAATATCTGGTTACCTTGTTTACCTAGACTTTACCTCCTCCCTGTGTATGTATAAATACCTCGACATATGATGAATAAAGGACTCAGTTCACAATAGTGTGTTGTTTTCTTCCCTTTTTAATCTCTTCATTGAATAATACCTTTCCCCACTCTTTCCTACACCATATCCACGAAATCCCTTCCCATATTTTTCTAAAATATCAAGCCATATCAATCTCATACCAAGATGACGAAGCTAAATGTAGCGGTAAGTCAATAAATTAACCGAGATTGACTCGGGTCGTCTCACAAGGATTGGCGAAGGGAAGTATTTGCTAATTAACTTGATATTTTAATAAATCAAAATTCAATCAATGATTCAGAGCAAAACTTAGAACAATCAACGTTTAAGTAGAAAATGTTAGAATAATAGACCAACGCTAGAGGGGGGGTGAATAGCGTTTGATCGTAGAAATCGCAGGAATTAAAAATTCAAAAGAGAAGTAAGGAGAAGTGTAAGAGGCACACCGAATTTTACCCTGGTTCACCACAACTTGTGGCTAGTCCAGCCTCCCGAGAGACTCTCTCGAGCTACACTACTATCTCGTTAAGCTTAACGGTGCTTAACAAACCCTTAAAACTTGAGAGTTCGAGTCACACGAACCTCAACGAACCCTTCAAAGGAAACAACCCTTCCTTTGAATCAAACGAGAGAAATACTTTCTCTCAACGTGTCTTAGAACACAAATGCACTCAACAACGAGACTCTCTTTTAGAGTAGATATTGAGTAAACTAAATACGCTCAAGAACAACTCAAACTTCACACGAATTGGCTCTAAAAAGCTATGGAAAAGAATGTTGTTTGAATGCAATGAAAGTATGAGGATTGTGAAGTGAATTGATGAAAAAAGCAGACCCAAACACCCCTTTTTATAGTGCCAAAATAGGCTCCAACGGACCAATACATTAAAGGGGTGATTGGCTTGATTTATGGGATTGAATAAATTGTGGATCTGTAGGATATTGGCTTCCCAGCGATGTATGGTTTCTACCCATCGCTGGTAGACCAATTTTCCTTCAGTTTTGAAGCCAACGGTCACCTACCCATCGATGGGTACAAGCTTCCCATCGCTGGGTGGGAGGTTGACTTCCAAACAAGGAAAGAATCAACCTTAAATGACTTCCAACGGTCATGCCTTCCCAGCGATGGTTAAGCCTTCCCATCGCTGGATTCCTATCGATGGGGTAAAGTCCCCATCGCTGGGTAAGATCGTTCTGCCTTGTGTTGATGTTGGACCAAGGCTTTACCTGCGATGGGTAGAACTTCCCATCGCTGTTTGGCATGGTTCTGGAACTTGGTTGGGCTAAAGAACCGCTTACCCATCGATGGGTAAATCTTCCCATCGCTGGGTGGATGGTTAGTCAAAAACCTATGGTTTTTTCCTTAACCACGACCTAGCCAACCGATGCAAAAACCGACCGAAAAATACAAAGTTTTCCAAAATAAAATTCAAGTGTTTAAAACACTTATCTGATGTATTTGGCTAAGAAATCAAGTGAGACACTTTAAAAACCACGTCATTTGGGTAAAAACCACGGCTAGCCAAGTTTATGCCGTTTTACGTGGTTTTTCCCAAACGACCAAAAACGAAATGTGGTTTTTAAGATGTTTTTGTTGGAGAACTGTTTAAACATGCCAAAGAGTAAAAACCAATCATAAAATGTTGGAAACCACTTGTTTGGTTCGGACGACAAAAACCAATGCCGATAACCGAATGTCGAACGCCGGTTTCTTAAAGCCGAACGCTGGATGGCTTGGTTTTTGTTTTGGGCGAACACCAAGTGTTTTTGATGACTTAAACATGTTTGAAAATCATTTTTATGAAGTAATAAATGAAATGAAAAGATTTTAGCATAAAGAGCCAAGGTGTAAAGATTGAGTCGGTCTTGATCACAATAAGGACCGACTCAACGATACTAAGACTATGGTCTTCGTTCTTGGTCTTCGTTTAGCTCTTGTTCTTATCTTCGTTCTTCGCCTTGTATATTCAATTTGTGTCTTGATCACGGCGGTTTGCATTATCAAAACCTGTCACAAAAACGAACACTGCTTTAGTATGAAAACGTGACAAGCCCGTGTTTCAACAGTTTCCCCGTTTTTGATAATGGCAAACAAGACGAGGTTATGCGTAGGAGGATTATTTTAAGACCAAAAAAAATGTTCCCCCTTAATAAATGCAATTTTATTTTCAATAAAGTATTTGTGATGAAAAAAATTCCCCCTCACTTTATGCATAACCTTTTTATCTTCCCCCTTTTGACATTAACAAAAAGAATTAAAAGTAAACTTTTATTCATTAAAGAGAAGGGAAATGTGTTATACAACGGAATGGAAATTAAAAAAAATACAATCATATTTAAAAAAAGGAAAGAAGGGAAGAGTCTAGGCATCCGCTCCATGTACTGCTCCATTTCGTCCACCGTGAGGGTTAGCCGATTTAGGGTGTCGGCTATGGACTGCAACAAGGCCCGGGCGGGATCGGGGGCAGGGGCACGGGCGGCGCCGTCTTTGTCTCCGAAATTCTTCTTGATGGTGGTGTCGGCGATGACCCACAGCTTCGTCATCTTCGTGCTTGGCCCGGCGATGTGGATGTTGGCGGAGACGATGAGGTCCATGACGAGGAAGGCGTATGGCAAGCTCCGCTCGGTGGTGATGGAGGCGCAATCCTCCATGTGAATCATGATGAATTTCGCCCAGTTGATGGAGGCGCCGTGCATGATGGCATGAATCGCCTTTAAGTCCTCGTTGAAGAGCGAGGTGTGGTTGCTGTCCCGGGGGCAAAGAATCCGGGTGATGATGTAGAGAAGGAGGCACTTGTCCGGTGGGGCCGAGTGGATCGTCGGCGCACCGCTGTGGCGGATTAAGTTGGTGATCTCAAGCTCGTGAATGACGACCGCCTCGTTGTTGAGAATCCAATCGTCGCCACCGTACGTCGCGATGTCGTCACCGCGGATGGGCAGCCCTGCGACCCGAGCAAAGGTAGGCAAATCAAGCTCTATGTCGTAGAGATTGATGCTGCTATAGATGGTGTCCCCGTCACGGCGCAGATATGAGTAGAAGGCCCGGACATAGGCGGGATTGTAGGAGGTGCGGCTCTTGGAGACGAAGGGCCACAAACCCGACTCTTTGAGTTGATTGTCGAGGTCGTGGTACCCTTTGTCTTGGGGATACAGCTCCGGTAGCACACGAGGCGGAGAGATCGGGCGTTTGGCAAAGTGATTGAGGAAGCGCGTGAGTTCTTCCTCCGATCCGAACTCAAGAAAGGATCCGTCGAGGTACAGAAAGGGCTGAGGCACTGAAGACGTTGCCTCGGCCGGACCTTTCTTCTTGGACGCCTTGGACTTTGATTTGTGAAGAAAAAGAATGAATTTGGCTTAGAAGTATGAAATTTGGATGTAAATTTGTGATTAGGAATGACAAAGCATGATGTATATTTATAGGAGAAGAGGAGAAAACGGATTTGGTTCAAAAAATATGACTATTGGGCATTAAATTCGTTGCCCAACGGTCAAAAGTTTTGAATCGCAGCAGGGTTCCCAGCGATGGGTATAACTTCCCATCGATGGGAAGGTCGCCACTGGAAACCAAGGAGAAATTCAAAACTGCCTTCCCAGCAATGTTTAGATCCTCCCATCGATGGGAAGGTGGATTCTGGAAAGTGAAGATTAAATGACAAAAGCCTTTCCAGCGATGTTAATACCATCCCATCGCTGGGTTGGTGGCTTTGGGAAATCTGTTAAAATTTTTATAAAAATAGTGTCAAACACCCAGCGATGGGAGGAGGTTCCCATCGATGGGTGGGGAGGTTCTGGAATTTTTTTTTAAAACGCAAGTCATTCACCCAACGATGGGATAAACTACCCATCGATGGGTAAAGAGTTTCTGGAAAACCGTTAAAGAGTTTTAAAAAATAGAGTCAATCACCCATCGATGGGGAGAGGTCCCCAGCGATGGGAAGAGGAGTTCTGGAAAAAAATGAACTTCCCTCCCAGCGATGGTATAACTCACCCATCGCTGGTTCCCCCTGATTTCCAGATTTCTTCACTTCGAACCGTCCCTGTAAAAAAGAGTTAGAAAACCCTCCGACGCTCAAGTTAGTGAACGTTCAAACAAAGATAAAAGAGTGATAAAGTGCACAAATTAGATCATCGTGGAGTCAAGGATTCCGAGTTCACTACAAATGCGGAAGAACGACTCTTTCTCTAAAGGTTTTGTGAAAATGTCGGCTAATTGGTTGTGTGTTTCAACAAACTCAATTTCGACATCACCTTTGAGAACATGATCTCTAATGAAATGATGCCTAATGTCAATGTGTTTCGTCCTTGAGTGAAGAACGGGGTTCTTCGTCAAGCTTATGGCGCTAGTATTATCACAACGAAGAGGGACGTGATTGATACTAAGGCCATAGTCCACGAGTTGTTGCTTCATCCAAAGGATTTGAGCACAACAACTACCGGCGGCTACATATTCCGCTTCGGTTGTGGATAACGCAACACTGACTTGTTTCTT